AATTATCGACACTTCGATATTAAGTTTGTAATTAAGAATATCTTTTATCGTTACCGGATATTCAGTTATTTCTTTGTATATTTCGTTTTTTAGGTAAAGAATTTCTTGTATTGGAAATTTTTCTAAAGTGTACTTATGACTTCGCATTATTAAATTTATTTATTATTTATTGGTGAATGATTTGTTAATTGTTAATAGACTGTTTTTTGTAATTATTCCATTTCCGAATTTTGAAATTTTTGCAATTTCGAATCTTGAAATTTAGGAATATTTCTTCAAAATTTTGAAATTTTTACTTTCTGAAATTTTGAAATTGTAAAATTCTGTATTTTCTTCATTTTTAGACCTAAAAATTGTCTAATTATCAAATTCTGAAATTTCTTCATTCTCAAATCCCCAAATTTCCTAATTTTGAGTATTCTTGCAATTTCTCCATTTCTTAATTTAGAAATTTCCCCATTTTAAAATACCAAATTTTTAAATATTGAAATTCTGAGATTTTTCAATTTCTAAATGCTTAAATTTCCTCGCTTCCAAATTTTGAAAATTTTGTAATTCCAAATTCCCAAATTTTGAAATTTCCCTATTTTCAAACCTTCAATTTTCCTAATTTTCAAATTCAGAAATTTCCCCATTTTCAAATCCCCAAATTTCCTAATTTTGAGTATTCTTGCAATTTCTCCATTTCTAAATTTAGAAATTTCCCCATTTTAAAATACCAAATTTCTAAATATTGAAATTCTGTGATTTTCCCATTTTCAAATGCTTAAATGTCCTCAGTCTCAAATTTTGGAATTTTTGTAATTCCAAATTCTCAAATTTTGAAATTTCTTCGTTTACAAACCTCCACATTTCCTAATTTTCAAATTCTGAAATTTCTCCATTCTCAAATACGAATTTCCTTATTTTCAAATTCTTCCAATTTCTCCTCTTCCAAATACCAAAATTCCTCCATTTCGAAATTTCGAAATTTCTCCATTCTCAACCCAAAATTCCTCCATTTCCAAATTTTTAAATTCCTCCATTTCCAAATTTTTTGGTTTCACCACTCTCAGCTTCCAAAATTCCTCCATTTCCAAACTTTGAAATTTCTCCATCCTCAATTTCCAAAATTTCTTCATTTCCAAATTCAAAAATTTCTCCATTCCCAACTTCCAAAATTTCTCCATTTCCAAATCTTAAAATTTCTCCATTCTCAACTTCTAAAATTCCTCCATCTCCAAATTTCCAAATCTTCTCCATTACCAAACTTTAAAAATTTTGACCTCCAATCAAATTCCCTAAACTTCATAATTTCTATACTACATGTATACTACTAATATGTGCCTCACACATGTATACGTTTGACCTAAAATTAAAAACCTATTTATGGTCGTTCCCATTATCGTCAATTTCCTCTTGATTTCCTCGCTAACGATATGCAACACCGTTGTATATAGATTTACGTAGATCAAGTTCTCGAATGATTGATTCGAAAATCATCAAAATCGCAGTTAGCTGGCAACCATTTCCTACTGGTACTCCTGTTTAATCGACAGGAGCTACGCTTATGGGAGCCCCTTGCTTTGCATAATTGCCGCTTATGCACGCTCAACGACGAGGGGAAGTGGCGTCCTCGGCTGTTGGATAGGGTTGCTGGATGGTTGCTTCGTATTTGTGGTGTTTCTGCAATGTGTCGAGTACTTACCACATACTTGTACTTCATAATGGTAACATTAATGGCGGTCCAACAATGCAACAAGCTTCAAACAGGAATCCGGGCTTTATGGTGTAACCCCTTTACTTATATCTCTCCCTTCTTTTCTTGTTTTTTTATTTGAGATACAATGTACTGTGATCTTGGGTATGGACCGAACTACTTGGTCTTCCTCTTTTATCTATTTTTGTTGTACGAAAGACATGCAGCTTTCGAATATAACTCATTGTGTATATAATAAAACAACATTGTGTGTACAAAACTAAACTTGGTTAATATTCAGAATATTTTGTTTGTCAAGATAAATGATGTTAATTGGATTAATGAGTAATAAGTGAAATATTATTCTTTGAACTTCATTTATAATGTATCAATAATATTGTATCTAATTAATATATGAATAATATTGTGTCCAATTAAAATAGAAATATATTTATGATTAATACAATGCATGAATAAAATAATTAAAAGAAATTTATGTGTACGATTGAAATAATGAAGATCGATGTATAATTGAAATGATCGAAATTGTGTATAATTGAAATGAATCACACTCGCCCCAAAATAACATTGCCCTAAATAATAAATAAGTGACCCGACCTCATTATGCACTCGTGTTTTGAACTGTTTGATTTGTTAATTAGTACAGTCTCCCTCACTCTCTGTTTTATGCTTTCTCACGATTGTAACATGTAATCATGACTAATTGAACGGGTGGCCTATTTTACCAACACGCATCTCTTGACACAGTATTTATAACATGAATATGCATTCATTAATTATTTTATGAATAGAGTTCCAGTTTTAGCAGGGTAACGATTTATCGAGAATCTCGTTTCTGGGAAGAATTGTGCGGAAGATGTAATCTTTTTTTTGTATTATATGTTACTTTACTTTGGAAAAGTTGTGGAAAGATGAGAAACATTAAACTGTGACAAAACGAAATATATCTTTTTAATAAAATGATGATTTCTGTCTTTTCAACAGAATGAAAAGTTATCTTTTATTATTTTCGGTCTTTATTTTATTTATTACTTATATTTATTTGTGAATTTAGGTCCATAATTATATATTATTGAACCATATTGAATTCACGTCCATACAATATATAAAAGTTTTTCTTACGGTAAAATATGTCCCTGCTCATTATACTCCCAGTTTTTACATCGATCCCTAACTGTATAATTTTATCTCCAAAGGATATCTGTGTCATAAAACATTTTTCGTGTGTTACATGTGATTCTTGGAGCCAGGAGAAGCATGCCTCTCACAACGATAATTATTGTTGTTCGTAGAAACTGTCCAATTTAATAACCACCTGCATCGTCTCAAGATTTATGCACTATGCTCTTAGCAGTAATGCAAGAAATACGACACAGTGGTTCGAAACGGTAAATTTATGAAATACATTGTTACGTCAACTATCCTGAAATTACATTTTTATTGGAAAGATTCCGTTAGGCTATGAAAATTGATGGTCTATCTTATAGTCTTACTGTGAAGACAGTAAAATTCCATTTTTTCTCAAAAGATAGATAAAATAGATAAGTTATTCTAGCTTATTATTACGGTCGTATGTTCATTTTTATTTTAATTCTATTAAAATTCTTGTATGTTTTGAAATGATAGACACAGATGATAGACAGAGTTAATTCGACTTGTTAATAAATAAATAATGTTCTTATTAATGTTAACCTTCAATTTTAAAATTATATAATTTTTGAGAGGCTTTACATTTTTGAAATTATTGCCATCTCAATGAGTATATTTTTGAATTATATACTGCACGCTATAATTTCTAATTTTCCTGACTCCGCCATTGTCCGTTTGGAGGTTATGTTTCGTGGTGAGGTTATGAAAACGCATTACTTTAAGAACTTCAAACTATTATATATATAGAAGCTTCCAAAATTATAACTCAACATTTATAACACATACTAATACCTAAAACAATAAATTCTACTCATAAATTCAATTATTATCAATAATCCCAATTGTCCACATTTATTCCAAGATAAAATCAGTCAAACAGTAAAAAAACACTAAATCATCGGATAATCTGCGTTTCCTTTATTTATTGCATGTTATTTCCTTTACTTGCAAAGATTTCACCAAAAACTGTTATCCAAAACGTAAGTTTAAGTACGACACTGAAATCTCTCATATCCTACACCTAATGACATTTGATGTACATAAAATGCATTTCACCCAGTTTGCCAGGACACATTAGTAACGTCTGACATTTATGTACGATTTATTCGCAAAACGAGTTCAAACAGCGAGTAATATTCCGCACGCATTTGTCTATTCCATATGTAATTTGTCCTGGATGATGGCGATACACTATTGCAATATCACCAAGGACACCTTATGACTCGGTTTTTTCCTTCCTCTTTTTATTCCCTCATCCGGTACACGTTGCAGGGGGTGTGTCGGTCAAAGACATAAAACGGATATGAAAGGATTTTTTACTTCTTCCTGACAACTGTCGCACGAGATGCTTCGTGATGCCTGAATAATCATATTATTTAAACTTCATTTGGTTTCAGTTCTCTTTTTGACCTCACCCGAAGGTAATTTCTTCGTACAAGTATAATTACGAATGTATTTGCATTCATTTTCTTGTAAGACACTCTATTATGGGTTATTAAAGATTTAAGTTTAGCTGTTATGCAATGACAAAAAAGAGTTCTGAGGAAAAATGTTAATGATCGTTAAACTGTAATGCTTTGAAAAGATTATATGAAAAACTGCTTATTTGCTTCTGCAAAAAAATAACTCTTTGTGTCATGGAAAACAAATTTGCTCAAGTTAGTTATTTTCAGTAGACTTTTGTTATAAATGATATACTTTAGAAATGGTGTATTACACTTCTGTTAGAAATAATTTTTAATACATTTTTGTTACAAAATGTACGTTTGTAGAATCAGTCTAATTTTGATCAATTCTTAGGTAACAAAAAGTGTACTAAGTTTGATATAAATTGTGATCAAACACTTTAGGAGTAAATTCTCCTGGTACGTATGTAATATACGTATCTTACACGTGTATGTAATTGCATACATGTATTACATATACATGTAATATACGTACATTAAAATTGTGATAAAATGATTGTTGTAGTCTATTGCCATATTATTTTGATTTAAAGTATATTCCTTTAAAATGAAGGGTTTCGATAAAATCCAGTCTCAAGGACAGGACACATATTCCCACATACGAAGTATTTCATATGCAAAAATTGTTCGCGTTATTGCGATTGTGACGTGCTATAGAAGCTGGAAAAGTAGGAGAATCCACTGACCTGTTCTGCAGATTCGGTGATGAAAGAGTGGCAATATTGTATGCTGAAGTGGGCTCTAGGCTCTCGAGCGAGGAAGCTGAATTGAGCGTGTTGAGGTTCACAGGTTGCGTACGAGATGCGCCTCAACGCGTGCGCCATTTGCACGCACTGAAAAAGAAAAACACTTTATTATTAATGTATTACTTCTTTTAAAATGCTACAACTTATATAAAATATATTCGTGTCTATTTACAACGAAATAGGGTTTAACATGCAATATGTGCAACATAGGTGCTAATTTTGAAAAGTAACCTTTCAAAGTAATTAAACTTGCTACAGTATAGTCATTAAACTTGTCACAGCATAGTAAATTGAATTTGTAAGTACTTGTAAGTACTGTACACCGTGTTACAAGATGTCGAGACATAAACAGAGGTATTTAATCGACAACGAAAGTAATTAAACATGGCTAATCTGAACGTCACCTCAAGTATCGTAAATCCGACAATTTACTCGGTACCGACAGTGTTTATTTGCAAAACGGATGGTAATTGCAGGTTTTCCTTCCCTCTGGAATACTAAATAAAAACGTCTACCGAATAATGATACGCCACTCCGAAGGTACGGAAGGTCAAAAGATCAAAGCAGCTTGTTACGTTTCAGTCTGCAGGTACCGGGAACATTTCTCAAGCATAAAGTAGCGACGTCTCTTGCGACACCGTTCTCGCGCGTTATCTTGTGTTATATATTGCGGAGCTCGTTGAATTTCTCTTTACGATTTTATGCGTTCTTACTAGTTTTCACCGTGTGCTTCCCTGTAGCTTCGACCCCTACCCTTTTCGTGTGTATTCAAAAACTTTGGTGTCCCTTTGAAGTGTACCGCGACATCTCTCAAACACGAGTTGATCTGGTGGTCACAGCTACCGGTAATACGAAAAGCTTTGCGTCAAAAAAAAAATTAATCATTACGTATTTCACGACGAATCTGCATCGTTAAATACACTGCGAATCAACGCTATTCACACTTTGCATTCGAAAGGTGATTTAGACTCCTTTAAGGTTTAATATAACAGTTTTGGGCACTTAATTAGATATACATATATTGTTAGTGTTATACATCTGATGAATACAGTGAAGTAAATAGTGGTAGTTATAATAATTTAATAAAAATTCATTCATAATTTTAACTTACTAATAACAGAACTTTCAAGTGCAGAGGTTGGAGGGTTATATTAACATTATTTTATTATTTTAACATTATCTGAATTATAATTGTATTAACTGTTAAGGTTTATGCCAACACTGTTAATAATATTCGTACTATTTATTAAGTGCTGTATTAACATTATTAATACTATTTATTAACCATTATATTGACAGTATTAATTTTACTAATATAATTTCCTAAGTTGGAACAAATTCTAAAATGAATCTTCACATATAAATTCACTTACTTAGGTGATATTGTTTAGCATGGGTGTGTAATATGTTGCATATTAGTTGACATTAAATTATTCGATTCCACGGTTTATTTAACATGGTGATTGATTATTGTAGTAATAGTTATTAAAGGGTTGCCATAGCGGTTCAATCGAATTATAACAAATTCATAGATTAATTGAACTAATGCGTTCATATTAGGTGCTTCCGCTTCAAAATGGCGCTACATTTGACACCGACGCTGTGATAGACATTAACATGTTATAAAATCAGATGACAAAATATTAGAATGTTGTTTGATATCCACATTCACAATTATGTTAAAGACAATTTCAAAATTTTAATTTCACGTTTATCTAATTTAAACATATCGGATTTATTTTTATTAGAAAATGTTGAGTTGGGAAAGGTTATGTCGTCTTTGTTAGTAAATTCATTAATTCAATTTGTGTCAATTTATTGTGAGATTAAAAAGTTTGTATAGAAATACAAAATGGTTTAATTATTTAAAAACATTATTAGGTTCTTCTTAATTATTATATTGTTATTTTTTTAGTTATTATATTTTCTTTATTCGCTCATTACTTATAGTTAACATTAGTTAGAATCTTGTAAAACATTGCAGTGCTAATTATAAACAATTAATATGTTTCTGTGACTATATGTACAAAGTTATGCATACTTTTAATTCCATAATGAAATTGAGCAATGTTAAATCAATCATAACAATTTTAACATGAGTCGTACACACAGGAAAACAGCATCCTTATTAACTTCAATAACTCATAAATATCACTTAAATGTATCATAATAGCAGAGATATCACGGCTCGTTACCAAGGACAGTAAATCTTCGGTAAGTTCGAGGTGATGAGTGTGGGATGAGCCTTGACTATAAAAATCAAATTGAAAAACTCATAAAAAAATATTTGGTATGCTTGTAAAAAAATAATGTCTTCCTTGTTATTTCCTTTCGCAATTTATAAATTGAAAAGTGGAAACATATCAAATAAAAAATATTTAAACTAATTATTCATATTAGTTATTATATTTTATTTAAGATAATTGAATTTGCATAAAATATTTTTGAAATGCATATTCAAAGAGAATTACGAATTAAAGTTAAATGTTTTGATAAAAAGAATGTACCTAGAAATATAAATATCTAACCGGATAAATAATTCGTATGAATTCATTTGTTTTTAAGTGATTATATAGATTATTATATGAGTTTGAAAAGAAAATATAATTATGTGGAATTGCAACGATTGCCTGTGATACCGACGCGTACCAATTCATACAATGCGCCTTAAATCGCTTAGTTTCAATGATCGTCGACAGAGTACGCTATTTCTTAGGCGATTCTTTTCGTACAACTCATAAAATGTCCTCCATTATGTAGGAAATATGTGATATAAAATAAAATTTGCTATAAAATTCATGTTTAAAATATTAATTGCATTAACTAAATAAATTGTATAAACTTATTGATCGAATTATCAAATGAAAAAGTTATTTGTGGTTTTCAGTTAGACTCATATTGTGTTACTTTTCAAAGATACTAAATTTTGAAATTTTTAAATTCTCAAGCACCAAACATTCTTAAATTTGCTAATTCTTAAGATTATTAAATTTATAAATTTTTGAAGGCATAAATGTTCTTTCTCTCTATTTAAATACTCAAACCTCGATAATTTAAAAATTTCAGTCTTTTGGTTTCTGAAGTTTTTGATTTTTATCATTCTAAATTTTTAGATTTTTTAGATTTTCAAATTTCTAGATTTCTGGATGTCTAAATTTCCAAATTCATAAATTTGTACATTTTATAATTTCTAATCTTCTAAACTTCTCAATTTCCAAGTTTTAAAATTTTTAAATTTTCACATTTCTAAATTTTGATTCCCAACTACATAAATCTAAAAATTACACCTCTAAAATTATAAACTACAAATTTCTAAATTTCTAACTTCCTAAACCTCTAAATTTCCAGACTTCCAAACTCCTAAATTATCAATTCAACTTTCTCACAAATTATCAATACACATTACACCCATCACACTATATTACAACAAATCTTCGTTTAATAGCCCAACCTCGTCACCACACAATCATTACCGTTTTACTTCTTACATCCCTCACAAGTAACCGAATAATAATAAGAATGAATAAATAATAAGCAACTGACACATTCGAATAAATCAAAAGTGTCGGAGTATTTCTCGTTAGATCCATAATGAATTACCTATTTGCTTTGAATTGCCATCGAACTAAAATTTTCTCACGATTCATCGCAACACAGATGGCTTTAGCGTTTCTTGTCGGCGGAGGCGGCTCGATAATTAGGCAATTAATTCAACGGCGAAGGTGAAGCATTGTTGTAGCGCTGCCTCGATTAACGCGGCGGCACGTCACGACGAAAAGGAACGAATAAATCGCAGTTATTGGCCACTTCGGCCCCTTTCGAGATGAAGTTTCGTTCATCGAATTCGTTCAGTAACATGGAACTTTTAATGGCTCACAGCCGTAGCTCTATTTGCGGAAAAATCCGCCGGAAAGTTCGCCGCTCCTGTTGCGTGAAGTCTGCTGCCAAAGTTTCAAGCGATTTTGAGATATTGTTCGACTTCGCTACGATTCACAATTCTAATTACCGACGTTACCGCAATCTATTATCGTAAAACGTTCTCGGACGATAAAGAATGGCATTGCAAGATAATCTTTCTCGTTATTTTATTTCATTATTTTGTGCTGTCTTAATCGTTTTAAACACTTAACTTCGTTCGATGGATATTTACGTCAAAATTCGTTTCGATGCAGCTGATGTTAATTGATAATTTTTCATTGAACAAATCAGCGGTTTGCTTTTTAACAAATGTTCTAATTTTTTGTCGAATAAAAATACCATCCTCCGTTTGCTTCCCACGAAATGTTCTAATTTTTTATGGAATAAAAATACCATCCTAGTTTTGTTCACCAGGAAATGTTCTAATTTTTTATGGAATAAAAATAAGACCCTCGTATGGCTTACCAAGGATTGTTCTAATTTTTTAGCAAATAAAAATACCATCCTAGTTTTCCGTTTCAAAAAAATGTTCCCAATGCATACATTAATATAAATATGATTGCATTTTGTTATAATATCATTTTGATAAATAAAGACTATTTTTAAAAACATGATCTTGTTACTTGCTATTAATTAATTTGACCTGAAGTCTCATAAAATGAATTTACTTATAATTACTTTAGAAAATAACAAACCATTTTTCAAATTATACCTGTTTAAATTAAGTTTGTGTATTTTAGTTGTGCAAATGTAGAATTTTGTAAAATTAAGATGCATGTAAAACTTATGAAGAGCTTAAATACTTCATCTTGAATAGAGATGCACAGTGCGCATGCGCTGTACAGACGCGCATGCGCATTACGCATCTACTGCACACACGCGCATGCGCATTACGCTTCAAAAAAGCATTTTGTTACTTCTTTTCGATATATATTTTTACTTTAGCAATGTTTGGTGTTTAAACAACTAGCAAACTTTTGATACTTCAAGAAACCTCAAATAATTGTCATTTTACGAAATATAATGATTTTAACGCGTTTCAAAGTTTTTTTATTTTATTTTCTTTCTGGGAAACGAAATTTGATTTAAACTTGATGCGCACAAAAATAAGTAGTAAGTAATAAGTAATAAGTAATAAGTAATAAGTAATAAGTAATAAGTAATAAGTA